CTTATTACACAAAGTGTAACAGTCTCTTACATTATCAAAATCCCTTACATCAAAAACATAGTACTATATGTAACTATTGCTGTTCAATTTCAATTTTAGTATTTCTCTTAAAAATGTGTTGTTCACAATGAACAAGCTTCGATTATCACAAAAAATAGGATTTACATTATTCAAATGATTCATATTGAATTTGTATAGTGTTCAAACCATTTTCATCTGAGGCAGCACAGAAACAGGTCCTAATTTCTATGCGGAAATGGGCAAAAACGAAGGAGCAAACGTCGATCAGATCGAAAGTTTTGTAAAGACCTACCGCATCCATCAAGTCGCCCACGGAGAAGAATCGAATCTTGCACGATGAATGGCACAAACAGCGGAAAGCAATCGGTTTTGTTCTACCCGGCCTTTTCATTCCGTTTGTTTGAATCTCTCTTTCTGACGGCGGTAATGGCAGTCAGCCTAGCGCCCGGCGACGCGGACAACTGGAGCAACTGTCAAAATAGGAAACGACACGCGCAACAATAGCACAATCAGGAAATTGAGTTTTTCACACGGAACAAAGCGACATATGTTCCGGTAGTTTGGTTCCATCAGTGACTGGCGCAGCCTACTGAGGCCTCATTCTTTGCAACGTCACCTCCTCTCCTCCCTTCCGCAAGTCGGAGGAAGGGCGCCCGCCCGTTCTCCCTCTCTCCGCCGCGTCCCCGTCCCAGACCGCCCACGCCCACGCCCGCCGCAACTCATCCCCGGCGCTGGTCGCGGTGGCCGTTCGTGAGGGTTAAAAATGAACACAAACCTACAGACCGCAGGCGAGGTAATTAGAATTCACAAAGTGAAGATCTGTTTAATTTAAATTCTTCCGAAGTTTCGAAAAAAATAATTGCTGACGGAAACGGGCTCGCCCTGCCCCGCCGGCTACGCTCCTCCGCCCGCATCCCCTCCTCTCCCCTTCCCCTCCTCGCAGCGCCCTCGCGCGCGGGAAGCAAATCCCGAAATCCCCACACCACGTTCCACCGAGCGCCAACTGCACTCCTCCCACGAGGTTTACACGTAATGATGTATTTAGCGCGAGAGGTTTATAACAGTTAAACGAAGACGAAAGATTCTTAAAGACGATAGACGAACCCGAGCTTCGAAATTAGTTTCGTTATTAAACTAATTAATTAATCATATCGTTCTAAGACAACGCGCACGACAATAAACGGGAGCGTGCGCGCTTGCCACCAGACCACCACGGAAGCGGCGCGGACGCGTTAAAAACTTTGTCTTCAACTTATTAGCAGGGAAAGCATCACCGTAAATATTTGCATTCCGTCGCATACGTGCAAAAACCTCGTTTTCCGCGTAATTATTTCCAGCTTTTGTAACATTAAATAAAACAAATGCAATTAATTACCGGGAAGTCGTATTGCAAGTGCGCGGCTAATAAAGGTTTCTCCCACATTTCGGCGGCGGTGCCTGCGGGCGGGAGGGAGGCAACGGCGACGGAGCGATGCCGCTTTATTTACATTTCCCCTTCGCCTGAGTTTCTGCTTCTCTCACGCAATATACAAATTAGATAAAGTGAACTTCCTTGTTTCGGAACTTAATATACGAACTACGCCATACTTTAATTATTACCCTTGTCAGCAGTATTGCACCCCAGTAATAAACAAAGTTGAAGAATCTCGCCTCCCGAGAGCACGGGAAGAGGCGGGGCAAAGAGAGGTGGCGCACGGGAAAGTTGTGAGGAGGGCGGGGGCTTGGGGAGGAGTAGGGTACGAAGGAAGAGAGTGGGAGGAGTGGGTCGGGAGGAAGGGCGTGAGTGCGAGGGACAGTGCGGTGTCGCCCACGGGGCGTGAGCGTCGGCGCGTTTCCCTGGCCGTCACGGCAGGAGCCCCGCGCGGAGCGGGACACCTTAATTTTGACATTTACAAAACTTCTCTGGGAGAGTTAGCCCCAGCTTACTCTTTTGGGCCTCTTCGATTGCGTAATATAAAAAAACCCTAATTGGGCATTTGAGAGAAGGGCGACGGTTGAATCTTGCGGCAAGTGTCAAATTATTTTAAAATGTATCATTAATTCAATTGTCAAGACGGTCCACTTAAAACTAAATTGCGGTCTCTACAGTAGTTTCCCTTCATTTACATTACACAACATAACATTCATACCTAAATATTCTAAGATAAGTTATTTCACGAGACAGAAATTGGACAGAACAGATAAACACTAATGAAAGAAACTGATCAAAAGCTTATCATATTCAGGATTTATGATTTTTTTTCATTTCTCAATTGTAGCTTGCAGGGCGTATTCTATGCGACAGTTACATACACTTCACGAAAAAAAATGAGTCACATTGAAAAAGTTCATATTGAAGATGGACGATAAATAATTTCCTTAGAAAATCTTAATAATTCTCGCAAATTATCAAGACGTAACAAATTCAAGAATGTGATTCAAAGAATTTGGAAAAAAATTAGTCATCTAACAAACTACCCGCATTCTACTGACAATTCCACATTCCCATCAAATAAAATTTGCAAAATACAATAAACTAAAATAATAATAATGAAAATAAAATAAACTAGCCTGAAAACTCGAGTCCTGAAAACGCAATTTTCAGCAGCGCGCGAGCGAAGGCGCGAATCGACCAGCGAGGTAATCGGAGCTCACGCGACGCGACGCGACGCGACGCACCTCGGCGCCGCGCGCACGGGCGGGTAAGTGCGCAGCAGTGTCGAGGCCGCCGGGCGGAGAGAGAAGCGCCCAGCCAGCCAGCCAGCCAGCCAGCCCCTCGCCCGACACAATTAGCGACGGCGCGGCACCGCAGGGCGGGGCTGAGACGCTGATAACATTATAGGGAGACGTACAGGCGTGTACGGGCGAGGCGAGTGGTGGCGCGTTAGCGGGGCCCCGCCCGCTGCCGCGCTCCGCCCCCTCACCTGCCGCGCCATCGCGCCCGCCTGCCGCGCCCCGCCCCGCCGCGCCCCGCCCCTCGCTCGCTTCCTCGCGGCGGCGGCGGCGGCGGCGGCGCCGGCCCCTTGCTCATACATCACAGGGCTTTGGCGCAAGGTCTCGGATTCCAAAGCAAAGCCTAGGGGGAGGGCGGTTCGCCGACTGCCGAACCCCGGCTTTGTGCGAGGTGATGAGTAGAGGCTGTACGTCTCCGGCAGGCGCGGGATTAGCCGGACAAATGTTGACAGTAAACCGGGCGCTGGTGGGCCTCGCGCCGGACCCGCCCCTGCCCCCTCCCCTCACCAGCCCCGCGCCGGCCGGTCGTGGGTGGAGCGTGGGGTGCGGCGGAACGCAAGCGGGGTGGGGGGTCACTGCGCGCCGTCCACTCGTGCGGTTTACGCACGCAGGCCGGCTTACCGCACGCCCCCGCGCCTCGACGCCACTTCTCAGCGCTTTCGTCCGTCTAGAAGCCAGGGGAATCCCCGGGCCGCGAAACGATAGCGCCGCAAGTGCTGCACTCTACTCTCAATGAGCTGCACGACGCGACACCGCGCCCCATTTCCCGCTTCCCGGTAACCCGCACGACAGCCGAGGCGCGCGGGTAGCATACGAGCGCCTACGCAAACACGTACAATTAAAAGCATACCGGTCTCTCTACAACAGCCGCGTGACCGCAGAAATAGATAGCTCTCACTCCTCATCTACTTCGTATTGCGTCCCGTTGGACTCCACGCCGAATCCGCCACGGAGGGTGATCTTTCTACTAACGGACTTTCTAACGGAGTCGGACGCGAAACTCTTGACCTAATATCGGGCAAACTTTCCCGGTGGGCATATTGCACTTGGGAATAAAAAGCCGAAACGTTTCCTATAACGCCGTCCATCCAATTCCCGAATCAGCAACTCCAGTAGACCCCGCTACAGCAAAGGGTACGTGGATTGCTAACCTAAAGTGAGTCACTAGAAAGGGAGGCATCGACATGACGACACACGATGGCTTCATTAATACTATCAATCTCAGAACAGATCTTTCGTACGAGACTGCTCAGGATCGTTGCCAACGACGAAATATTTTTTCAGCAGTTACTCTTTATTATTCACACCAATGCTGAGCCCAGTACTGCATTTTTCATTAAAGCATTTCGAAAAAAAAATAAAATGTAGGCCTAAAAACCACACCGCCGTGATGTGAATTTAATATTTCACAGACATGTGATTACTCGAGAAGCAAATTATTTATGCTAAGAATCGATGAAGTGCTCAAATTCTCTTCCATATCGAAATAGTGCGGCAAGAAAGGCGAGTCTCGACGGGCCGCTATCATCAGCTTCGTCACAGGCTGTGCGAGCGATAGGAGAAAGGAATCGAAACTGAAAGGTAATTCGCCGAGTACATCCAGCACAGGAAATGAGAAAAATGTGAGAGTTGCTACGAGTAATTAGTGGCAGAGGAGAGCCGAGATACGCGAAAATAACTAATGGAGTGTTAGCGGCCGAATGAAGCGAATAGAAAACAAGAAAATGAGGATCAAAACTGGTGCCTACTGATGAAGAGAGGGGACTAGAGCGTTCGGAACCGGAAGTTGAATGAAGAGACGAATGGAAGAGGACGACTTGAAACAGTGACAGAGTCAGAGACTTGGGTGGGTAAAGGAGGGGACGGTGAATGGAGTGTTGCTCGGGAGGAAGGAAGAGGGGGGGGGAGAGAACGGGAGCTGGCGGAACAGGGCGCGCCACGCAATGGGAGAGCGGTAATTATCGCAGGCACATAGCCGACGGATTCCACGCCCTTCCCCATACCGTTAATTAAATATTCACACGGCACGGCGGCGGGCATTACGGCTAATGCTACATTACTGAAATTAAATGCATTTTCAAAACACACACACAGACAGACAGACACACACACAGTCACGTACACGGCGAAGCGTGTTCACTCAGCGCCCATCCTTTCCTCTCACTCACTCGCGCGCGGGCGCGCTCTCGCTCTTGCGCGCACACGGGGCTTTTCGCTCCCGCTCGCCACGAGACACACCAAGAAAGAAAGGAAAGGGCTGTACTTACGATATTTCACCAAAAGGCGCGAATGCTTCTCTGAGTGTCTGAGTCTCTATTTCTGGACTCAGGTCCCCGACAAATATGTGGTAATGTTCTGAAACAGAGAAGGAAACACCCTTAATTACTAATCGAGATTAAAAATAAACGTGCAACTCTACACTAAACCTAATATTTCATTTGCATCAATTAACATATTCAATATTATTAATTACCATATTCATCAACATTTCGTGGTACTCAAAGCGGAAAACAAACACAAAACGAGTGGTGCAGTATTATTATATGCACGGCAAAAATAACACAGACAAATCCTACTGGTATAATGGTTTCGTTACTGGCAACTTCTCGCTTTTGGATCAAAGCGCTTTCGCGTAATATCAACAGCAAACAGCGTTTGTTTTAAGTTCCCCTCATCACAGTGTCGCTCAGGGCCACCGCGCGTTGACGTACGACCACTGAAACGCTATCCCGTCGCTAACATAACAGAGCTGACAACTCGTAAAACTCCTTCAAATGGGATTACCTCCCAAAGCCCGCCCGACAGGCGCAGACTAACCCGGATCCCTCGATTCCAAAGCAGCCAACACCCTCAATCGCCCTGTACTGCACCGCTCATTTCTATCTGGCAGATAGCTAAAGCCCGCGAATTGTGATCCTTCACAATGTACGACTTGGAAGTTTTGAAAGAAAGGAAGACAAAACATTTGATTGACACAGTTACAGGTACCAACTCCTTCGAAATATACGGATCACCACAACGGAACCGGCCCACCTGTCCACTCTCTTCGAAGGAGGCAACACGACCATTTGAAGAGAGAGGTTTAGCACACATTGACGTCGAAGGGCGGGCAAAGGTGGTTGCAGGGATGCTACCCGCGGCCCACGGGAACCCATCGTCGCCAATCACCCGACGTTCGTTTTTGATCGGCGACCGATTTGGTTGTCGCCGGGAATTGAGGCTTTGTTGTGTGCGGTACGAGGAAAGCACGGAATCGAAAGGCGTGTTTAAGGGAGCACGCAAACGGGCGACGCGAGGGCGCCCGCGCGTTGCGACGGGGGATAATAAAGGACGTCGTCGTTTTGCCTCGAGCGCTCGTTCTGCATTCTTGGAGAATCCACGACGCTACTTAGTCGCCTGAGAGCGCGTGGTGTGCTGGTTCGCCTCGTGTTAGATGTAAGAGATTTCCCCACTCCTGTTTGTTCCATCAGAATGTTGTTTTTTTCTGCGGGAAAGACGTCTTGACACTTGGAATGTCTGCACGAAACTTGTGAAGTAGTCACTTCACATTTCTCCTCGTATAGGTTTGTTTTTGGAATTTCGTACATGTAGTAAGTAAAATAAATTATATATTGTGAGTCATGTTATATTTTATTATTAGTTGATGGGTAGTGTTTCCGTCAATTGTATGTGGGACCAGAGCTTTTCAAACTGATATCTTCAAACCTTAAATTGCCAGTTTTTATTATTGATATTATTTTATTCTGGCCTTAAAACTGATATTTCCATAAAGTGAACAATGTAATAACTCTTAACAAATATTATATGCAATATTATCATACAATTTTGAAATGTTTAAAAAAAATTATAAATCTGCACAATATTAATTTTAACTTTTCAAAGTGCCGCGCTCCAAGCCCATTGCCAATCAGTTTTAAAACTCATACGTCGTTTGACGTTCGACATGTATCTCAATTTGGCTGTATTAACGGTTACTTGCCATACTGGACTCATTGTAGAGTTCGTTTCATTTTCTGGATTTTGACCTGTTAGCAAGCTAACGCATGCTGATCGATTCTAGCATTCCTGCCCTGATTCAGATCTCCCTTTAAAGTCATTTAATTATTTCTTATGTTTAGTGGTAATGATTATTCTCAAAGATATGGCTTCTGAATTGCAACCAGTGTAATGCAATTCAAAACCTTTACTTTCTCGTTTTCACAAAATCCTTCTTTCCTTATTTATGTCGTAAATTTCTTCGATAATCTAAGTGACTCAGGCTTTTTTTTGTGTGTGTGCAAGTATGCAGGTTTCGTAGAATGGCAAGATTTCCGCTGACCTTCTGCATACGGTCGTTTCCTTTAATTCTGATTAAGCGATTAGCATAAGCAGGAAGTCGCATAGGATCTCGGTTCTGTGAACCGCCACGTCACTTTCTTACTAGTGAGTTATTGTGTCTCGGGTACGTGGCGAGGGTCGTGTTCTGTGGCGTATTAAGAAATCCCCCTTCTTCCTAGGACTACGCATTCGCAGGACATCCCGCTTTCTCACATTATTTGTCTTATTCTCGTTGCTTCCTCTTCCTTGTCCACTGCCCGCTCTCTTTTTCTCTGCGCCTGCTCTCTTTTTCGCGGCGAGTTTTGTGTTAATTCGGAAAGTTTCTATGCCGTTGCCTTAATTACCCTGTTTCTTGGGACGTCGCGCCTTTCGTATCCCCAATACCATTTAGTTATAATAAAATTTACATTTCTGATCCTGACGCGGAGTAACCAACGTTGAAATATTAATATGTTATGTGTCTGCTCCCCCCCCCCCCCCCACTGCCACAGCCTTCCGCGTGGCGCTTGTGTTAGGAAGAATTATGAAGAGAGCAATGCCGCGGCAACTTTCGCCGTCTACTTGGGCCGTTTTCTCTCTCCTTCCGCGGGAACGAAAGAGATTAATCTCAACGCGCCTTCTCGGTCCCCTCGCTTCTCCTCCCCACTCCTCCTCCTTCTGCTCCCGCCGTCTCCGCTCGCCCTTCCGCCCGAAGCAGCCGTCGCCCTCTCCTCTGGCTCCCCCTCCCCCTCCCCTCGCGCGCCCGCCCCCTCCCCGCGAGATGCGATCACTATCGCGGACTTTATGTGCGGGTGCTGCCCGGCGGTGCGGTGGCAAAGGGGGGGCGGGCCGCGGCCCGGGAGCAGAAACACGATGCCAAGCAACGTTTTAAGTTATAAGACCTTTACGTGGAGCGAGGCTATACTTCTCTCCGCCGCCCGCAGGACGGACCCCGCACCGCCACCGCCACGCCACCGCCACCGCCACCGCCGTGCGCTCGGGATTACTTCGCTGCCGCTCCCTCCTTTCCCCTCCCCCTCACGCCACTCCCCTCGCGGCCGCCGGCGGCGACCCGCCCCTCCCGCTCCGCCTCCCGCGGCCGCCACCGCAGACTCTCACCCCCCCCCCCCCGGCTGACTATGAAAAGTTTGGCGCCCTGGTTAGTTTATTCAACGGCTGCTGCATTAGGGCGTGTTTGTCGTGAAATGTAGGCCCGTGCGGGGG